TCTCCTGAGCCTCAGTCTGCCACCATGGGCACCTGCTCCTTGGGTAGCTGTTCTGATCATGGCAATCAAGGCAGTAACAGCAAATCTCCCTATTTGCATAGTGGATCATTAATTTTCTGTGAGTGTTACACAGAGCTGCAGGATATCGGATCTGATGATCTCCAGTTCATTTCTAGGGAGGGTGTGTACTTGTGCCCTCAAAGGGTAAAAGTTGTTTTAAGTGTTGTCACATAATGAGTCATCTCTGATTAATGTTTGATGGTGCAGGCGGCCGGCGCTAGGACCTCTGGGATGCTGCATCTGTAGCCCTTACCAGAAGAGAAATCAGGAAATAACGCAGTAGCTCTTTCTGGAAGCATGCCCTTGAACATAACACTTTGCTGCTCCATATGAAAGAGAATTTACTCTCCAGGTATTCAGGAATCTGAGTCCAGGCTTAGCTGTGAGCTGCCCCGAGACGTCGTTGCCCCCAAGGCTCTGCATGGACGTCGCTGGGAGGTAAGTGCAAGGGTCTGTTAGAGTTGCTAGGAGCAGCCGATGTGGTGTTGTGTCTGCTCTGTCAGTGGAGAGGGATGGACGTAATCTTGTAGCATTAGGAGCAGTGTGGTCAGTGGGGAAAATGGCCAGGTGTCACCTGTTTTTCAGCAAAAGAGCTGTACTTGCCATTTGTCCAAGTGACCCTTAGCGCGGCTGGGTGTTTGTAAAAAAGTTCTCCAGCTTATGTTTCAAATATGTGTGCACAATGCACCCGGTTCCAATTTCAGTGCAGGGGTGCAGCGTGTCCCCTCTTCTGCCACTGGCAGCTCCTCAGTTAGCGTAACTCTGTGCATGGGAAACAAGCTTAAACTCTCCAGTTCAGGGTTGGGATGGCTCCACCGAACCCCACTGTGTTTCTGTACTTCTCATCCTCATTGTGTTAACAGATTTAAAAAAAGCATAGAACAGTTCCAAAACAAAGAGGGGGGCAAATATCTCTTCCCAGGCTTTCTGCCCACGCATCCTGCTTGTGGGAACATTCATTCCAGCGATGGGAATCACATGGACCAAATATCTCCAAGAACAAATAGTTGCTTTAGGACAAGGCATGTGAGTGGCACCAGGAGGAAGGTGATTCACTGCCATTGCCTGCTGGTGGCTGGGTGGAGGCACTGGCCCGTCTCCAGGCTCTGCCAGTGGCAGATATCCATGTGGGGATGCATGTCCAGCACTCCGAACCCTAGTGCCAGCTGGGCAGAAGAGAAGCTAGGCTCTTGGGCGCTCAGAATGGAGGATCCGTCCCTTCCAAGCACAACCTGCTGTCTGCACATAGGGGCAGGACTGAGCAAACAGTTGTTGCTTTTCACCACAAATTACTGTCCTGGAGCGGCAGAAAATGAAGGATCAACTATCAGAGCCACTGTCATCTTTCCTGGCTCGGCCAGCATGTCCCTCCTCATATCAGGTTGTACCACAGCAAGGGGTATGGAGCAGTCCCTGTCCTTAAGCTCTGTGCCCATGAGGCCCTCACCCATCCTGTAAGTGAGCCGAGCTGCAGCCAGTCACGTCAGACTTTGACTGTACCTGCTGGGGAGCAGGCACGGAGCATCTGCCTTTGCATCTCTAAGTCCACCAAGATAATATGTGTGGCACGAATGGGCCACAGGACGAGAGGATGTCTGTGTTAGCTAATGATGGCTTCTAGAACAGATGAAACTGCTGCCTGCTAATATTAACCTTGCAACAGCAGTTGTCCCTTTTTGTTGTTGTTCTGGATAGGGACTGGCACTGTAAGTCCTTGGATCCTCGTCATCATGGAGACAAGCTGAGGTTTACCACCGGTGATGCAGAGGAGTGACCGTGACTCACCCTCAAAAGAGGAATAGAGCAAAGACTGTCATCTCTGCTCCAAGGAGCCAAGTGAGCCCCTGCGCCTCTCCCAGCCCAGCAGAGACAGAGAGACATGGTCCTGCTCTGGCTAGAAGTTTCCAAGAGGCCAACAGTGGGGTTTCCTGAGAGTGGTGCAGTCAGCGCTGGATCGCAGCCACGCGTTGCCCTGCCCAGGCTCTTGTGTTCACTGAGCACCAAGAAAACCAGTGTGTGAATGAAGTCACTTCTCCCCCCGCCCCGCCCCGACGTTTCTCTTCTCTGGAAGCTGATGCTCCCTGGCTGTTTTGAGGTCTTGGAAACAGAGAGGAGCACCAAGCTGCTGGGATAGCTTCACACTAATCTCTGGTGCAAAGGAGCAAGGTGAGCGTGAAGCAACTTCACCTACGCGGGACGTGGGTCTCACCAGGTGGCATGTTTGGCAAAGCTGAAGAGTATGAGTTGCAAGCACTGAGAAATCCCACCTTCCTTTAAAAAAAGAAAAGAAAGCATCTGCTGTGCAGTGAGAGACAAATTGCAACTGCAAAAGGTATCTGGAGGAAGGATGCTGAAATCAGAACAAAACTTACAGAAATCACAACTTGGCTTTTAAGAACATGAGGGGTTTGGGGATGATGCCATGATATGGGGGTGCATGGCAGCCCAGGCAGTGCCACTGAGGACACAGGCTTGGTGTCAATGCCCCAGTGGGTGGGCTGTTCCCCCTCCAGCCCCCTTAAGGTAGCAGGAGAGGATTTGCCCACTGAGTCCCAGCATCCACAACTTCAGTTGTTCGAGGATGTGGCTGGAACCCTCTGGGAAACCTCCCTCGAGGATAAAGGAGGTGAACAGAGCTGGTAGCTCTTTAAGGACATTTTTCTTAGAGCACAAATGCTCTCAATTCCAGTATGTTAAAAAAATGGGGCAAGGAAGGCAAGAAACCAGCATGGCTCGGTAAGGACCTTCTGGTCAAACCAAAGCGTAAGAAGGAAATGCACAGGCAGTGGAAGCAGAGACATGTATCCTAGGAAGAATGTAGAGATGCTGCGTGGATGTGCTAGCTATCGGGAAAGCTAAGGCACAGTTGAAGTGCAATTTGGCAAGGGCTGCAAAGAATGATAAGGGCTACAGGTACATTGGCCAGAAAAGGAAGATTAAAGAAAATGTGTGCCCCCCTTAAATAAGACAGGAAAGCTGGTGACAACCAACATGGAGAAAGCTGAGGCACTCAACTTTTTTTTTTCCTCCCCTCAGTTTTCAATGGTAATCTCTCTTCCCATGTCTCTCAAGCCCCTAAACTTCAAGGCAGGGACGGGGGAAACAAAGTCCCTCCCATTGTAGGAGAAGATCAGGTTCAACACCACCTGAGGAACCTGAACATACATAAGTCTACAGGATCCAAGAAGATGCAGCCCAGGGTCCTGAGGGAATTGGCTGATGATAGTGCCAAGCCACTCTCCATCATATCTGAAAACTTGTGGCAGTCGGGCAAAGTTCCCAGTGACTGGAAAAAGGGAAACATCACACTCATTTTTAAAAAAGGTGAAAAGGAGGACCCTGGGAACTCCCTACCAGTCAGCCTCACCTCACTGCCCAGTAAGATCATGGAGCAGATCCTCCTGGAAGATATGTCGAAACTCGTGGAAGACAGGTGATTTGAGACAGCCAACATGGCTTCAACAAGGGCAAACCATGCCTGACTAATCTAGCAGCAAGGCCAAGCGCAGGGTCCTGCACCTGGGTCAAGGCAATCCCCAGTATCAGTATAGGCTGGAGGATGAAGGGATGGAGAGCAGCCCTGCTGAGAAGGACTTGAAGGTACTGGTGGATGAAAAGATGGACATGAGCCATCAATGTGTGCTCACAACCTGGAAAGCCACCTGTATCCTGGGCTGCATCAAAAGAAGTCTGGCCAGCAGATCAAGGGAGGGGATTCTGCCCCGTTCTGAGGAGACCCCCCTGCAGGGCTGCGTCCAGCTCCGGAGCTCTTGGCACAGGAGAGACATGGACCTGTTGGAGCGGGGCCAGAGGAGGCCCCAGCAACGCTCCGAGGGCTGGAACAGCTCTGCTGGGAGGACAGGCTGGGAGAGCTGGGGGGGCTCAGCCCAGAGCAGAGAAGGCTCCGGGGAGACCTTCCTGCAGCTGCCGGGGCTGAGAGGGGCTGAGGAGAGAGGTGGGGGCGGGCGGTTTCGCAGTCAGCAGGGCCTGTAGCAACAGGGTAAGGGGTGATGGTTTTAAACTACAACAGGGCAGATTTTGACTAGATCTAAGGAAGAAATTTTTGACAATGAGGCTGGTGAAGCGCTGGCGCAGGTTGCCCTGAGAGGTGGTAGATGCCCCATCCTTGGAAACATCCCAGGTCAGGTTGGACGGGGCTCTGAGCAACATGATCTAGTTGAAGGTGTCCCTGTTCATTGCAGGGGGGTTGGACTAGATGGTCTTTAAAGGTCCCTTCCAACCCAAACATTCTATAAGTCTCTGACGGGCTCTGGAGGGAGAAGACCCACAATTTTGAACTGGGAAGTGGTCACATGCATCCCAGCATGACAAGTAGGTGGCAGGGGGAGCACAGGGACCTTGCACAATCATCCCACAGCCAGAGGATGTGACCGTCCTGCCTCAGCCCAGCCTTGTCTGTCAGCATCCCCGCTGCGGCGGGCAGCCCCTGCGTCAGCCCTGCTGCATCCCACGTCAGCAGGACCCCACGGCCGGTGCCTGTCGTGGCCCTGATGACCTGGAGCTGCTGAAATAGGAGGTGAAAAAACAAGTTTCTGGTAAAACCGTGTTTCCCCCATGGCCAGCAGTGCTGGTGGGCAGTGGAGCACATCTTTGGACTTCAAGGCAGGGAGAAGGGGCAGGGACCAGGACAGCTGGTCCTGCTCCCACCTGGGTTCAGGACAGGAGCGTCCCTGGGGTACAGCCAGCATGGACAGGGTTTGCAGCCTGCTCTACGCCTTTTTCTCTCTCCTGTGGTGCAGGGCTGCCCCGGGTGATGGGCAGGCTTGCAAGGGGCTGCGTTGGTGAGGAGCCTGTGGGGACAGCAGCGGTGGCCTCGGCCGGGCCAGCTCAGCCCCATTCCTCCACAGCCCCCTTTGCTTTCTTCTGTGCAGGTGGCAGCAGGAGACAACAAGGAGTCCCTGATGCGCTGACAGCCGACCATGTCTGGGGTGAGCGGGGCTGCCACAGGGATGCCAGCACTTCCCCTGCCGACATCAGAGTGACACATCCCCCCAGGACCACTGTGGGGTGCAGGGGGTTCATGCCCAGAGCCTCCCTTGTCACCAGACAGGGCTTCAGATGGTCCTTGGGGTTGGCCTTGATGGCTGTAGGAGGCAGAGGGGGGCCAGCTCTCGCTGTCCCTGCTGACACTGCCTTCTCCCTTGCAGAAGCACTGGCCCCCCGGGACACAGTGTGTCACCAAGCACGACCACACCAAGCCCAAGGCCCAGGAGCTGGCCTTCCGCAAGGGTGACGTGGTCACCATCATCGAGGCCGTGGAGGTGAGCCCGACGGGTGCTCAGGGGACACGCTGCCCTGGGAGGGCACGGAGGGGATGGGACCCTAGTGCCATCAGCTGAGCCGACGGAGACAGGCCTCCACGCTTCGCAGCCGGATCCTCCCTTCCCTCCCTTGCTCTGAGACCCTCTCGCCCCCAGGGCAAGGGCTGGTACCGCGCCAGGCACAACGAGACGGGGCAGGAGGGGCTGCTGGCGGCCAGCACACTGCGGGAGCGTGGTGCCATCCATGTCAACCCCAAGCTCAGCCTCATGCCGTGAGTACAGCCAGGGGGAACGCAGGGGGGCCGGTGGCCCAGCTCAGCCCCTGGAAGCTGCAACAGCAGATGAAGCCAGTGCATTTCCCGCCAGCCAGGTTTTGGGTTTGAAGACCCCCAGCTGTGCCCATCCAGCTTGGATGGGCCTCACAGGGAGGGGTTTTATGCAGTGGGGTCTACGTACTTTGGTGGGGGGCTTTGTTTTCCCCATCTTGCTGCTGGCGCTGGGGGAAGCCCACCGGTGTGGCTCCTCTTCCTAAAGACCCTCTCCCCAGCTGGTTCCACGGGAAGATCTCAGGGGTGGAGGCGGTGCAGGCGCTGCAGCCCGCCGAGGATGGGCTCTTTCTGGTGCGCGAGTCCGTCCGGCACCCTGGCGACTATGTCCTGTGTGTGAGCTTTGGCAAGGAGGTAATGCACTACCGCGTGGTGCACGAGGAGAACACGCTTAGCATCGACAGCCAGCAGTACTTCTCCAACCTCATCGACATGATCGAGGTGAGACCCCCCCCCCCCCCCCGGGACCAGCGCCAGACCAAGGGCAAGAACCTCATGGGGTCACACAGCGCAGTGGCAGGTCCCAGTCCCTTTCTCCTGTGGTTTTCATTTGGTTTCATTACCTGGTGTAATTCTCCATCCCTGCCAAAGGCTCATGGTTTCCACTCGGTTTGGGGTGCAACAGACAGATCTGGGATGCCCCAGGGACATCCTCTGCTGCGAACCAGCCGTGCCGGCAGCAGCCCCAGTCCCCTGCCCAGGGCCACGTTTCCCCCATCCATGCTTATTCGGCGCTTCACGCAGTAGCGGGGCTTAGGGCATATTGGAAAACGAAGATCCTGGCAGCCTCTGTCACCCCTGGACCCTGGGTGAGGTCTGAGCCCCACTGAGGCTTTGAGGCATTTTGCCATGTTTCTCTCCACTCCGAGCCCCCCTCTCACCCGCTGACCCCGCAGGGCTCCCAGGCTGCTGCGTTAGCTCTCGCCCTTCCAACGAGCTCTTCCTCAAGGTCCATCTTTGACCTGTCTTGTAGCTGCTGCCCATCTCCTCTTCAGGGGTTTCCACTCTCGTATGTTTTCCTCATTTAGACACAGCTTCTGCTTTCAGGTGGGTCCTTCCCCCTTTCAGCTGCCCTGGCCCCGCTCTGTAACCGTGACCGCTGTCCTGCCACTTCCGCTCCCTGCCGCCTCTGCAAACCGCCCTCAGCTGCTGCAGCGCCTGCCATGGGGTTTAACCCCATCAGCTGCCGTCCGGCTCACCAGTAGCATCCTGTATCACCTGTGGTCCATCCCTGGCTGTGCCCGGAGGGGAGCAGGGCTGAGACGCAGTCTGCAAATTGCGGCGTTGGGGGAAACGTGGTGTTTCGCGCTGCCCGAGCTGAAAGGGCTCCAGGCGCCTCAAGGGTGATGATGGTGGTGGGGTTCAGTAGAGCATCCTGCGGCCATTTCCCAGCTCCATGCCCCGAGCTTGGGGTAAGAGGTGGCACCACCACATCGCCTCCACCTGTCCATCCCTCGGCAGCACTACATGAAGGAGCAGGGAGCCATCTGCACCAAGCTGGTGAAGCCCAAACCGAAAACCGGGATGAAGTCAGCTGAGGAGGAGTTGGCTAAAGGTAGGGGTGGCGGGAGAGGGTCATGGTCTGGGTTTTGGGGACAAGGCAGTTGGTGGCCCCTGCTAACCTGCCCTTGTGCCCGTGCCCAGCCGGCTGGTTGCTGAACTTGCAGCACCTCACGCTGGGAGACCGCATCGGGCAAGGCGAGTTCGGAGGTAGGCAAGAAGATGGGGTTGAAGGTTCCCTGGCCATGGCTTTCCCCAAATGACGCCCCCGATGTCCTCTCCCCATCCCATGGCATGGGGGGCTCAGCCTGGGACACAGGGGGCCAGCTGCGGGGCTGAGCCTGACCCCCCACATCCCCTCCCAGACGTCCTGCAGGGCGAGTATATGGGGCAGAAGGTGGCTGTGAAGAACATCAAGTGCGATGTGACTGCCCAGGTCTTCCTTGCTGAAACGGCTGCCATGACGTGAGTGCCCTGTGGGGGGTGGATACGGCCCGACCCTACCCAGTGACCCAGGGACAAGCAGGCACCCCTTGACCCCAATCCCCTCCATTTCAGGAAGGTCCGGCATAAAAACCTGGTGTGTTTGCTTGGCGTGATCCTGCACAACGGCCTCTACATCGTCATGGAGTTCATGAGCAAGGTGAGAGCACCCAGCCAGTCCTCAGCCAGCAGGGCCCATCACCACTCAGATCTGGGGACACAGTCCCTGTTTGGGGGCTGAGTTGGATGGATGCTGGGCACTACAGCCCCTGCAGGAGGCAAAATTTTCAGGCAGCCCCATCCCACTGGTCCTTACGCATTTCTCCTCCTTTATCAGGGCAACCTGGTGAACTTCTTGCGCACGCGGGGACGGGCGCTCATCCCAACCCAGCAGCTCCTCCTGTTTGCTCTGTAAGTCCATCTCCCTCCCTCTGGGCTGAGGACCAGTGCTCTGCGTCCCCGCAGGCAGCCCCACAGGACACACGGTGACACCGTGCTCTGCCTCGCTTGGCTGCGGCAGGGACGTGGCCCAGGGCATGGACTACCTGGAGTCCAAGAAGCTGGTGCACAGGGACCTGGCTGCCCGCAACATCCTCATCTCCGAGGAGAACGTGGCCAAAGTGAGTGATTTCGGCTTGGCCCGGGTCAATCCCAAGGGCACGGACACCACTTTGCTGCCTGTGAAGTGGACAGCCCCGGAGGCCCTGAAACACAATGTGAGTGATGGTGGGAAGGGAGGGGGAACTGGGGGGTCCTCCCAAAGCAGCTCACCCCCTCGGGTCCCCCCTGCTCGTTCCCCCTCCTGCCAACCTGTCCCTGCCCCATGGTGCCTTCTGGCACATTCAGCCCTGCATCTCCCAAAATCTGGGCTCTGTCCTGACCAGTCCTCACCCTGGTGCGTAGCGGAAATGGGGGCAGCTCCGGCCGGATGCAGCAGGACGGACCCCAGGCCGTGCGGGTGACAGGAAGGGAGGGGGGGTCGCACCCCAGGGAGCTGGGGGCGGCAGGGGCAGGTGCTGTCTGCTGTCTTGCCCTCGGGGAGCGATGAGCGCCCAGCGCAGCGCCCAGCCAGTGTCAGCCTCCCCTCCTCCCGCTGCCACAGAAATTCTCCTCCAAGTCGGACGTGTGGAGCTATGGGATCCTCCTGTGGGAAGCCTTCTCCTTCGGCCGAGCACCCTACCCCAAGCTGGTGAGTGCTGTGCTGGGGGACACTGTGGGTCGCACCCCGCTGGCACCAATGGGACAGGGACATCCCACTGTACCCTGGCCAGGGCGAGCCCCCGGTGGAGCGGGGAAAGGGGGGTCCCAGCTGGCTTCTCCATCCTGCAGAGCCTGAAGGAGGTGACAATGTTGCTGGAGCAGGGGTACCGCATGGAGCCCCCCGAGGGCTGCCCGCCTGCCATCTATGCCCTGATGAAGAGCTGCTGGGAGCTGGAGCCAGGCAAGCGGCCGTCCTTCAAGAAACTTGTGGAGAAGCTGCAGAAGGAGCTGAAGCACCTGAGGGACATTTAACCCTCATCCCCCTCCCACATCCCGCTTCCTGGCCAGAAGCCCCCTGGACCTGCCGGGGTGGGAGCGGCGTGGCAAGGGGTGGCTGGGCAGCGGGTGGCCTGCGCTGCCGCGCTGTCCCGGTGGAGGTGCAGCAGCAGCTGTGGGGGTCTCTCTTCCCCCAGGGCCCCTGAAGAGGAAGCAACAGCCTCCCTCCATCCTGGCAGGGGTTCTTCTTCCCACCACACAGCCCAGAGAAGGTTCCCATGGGGTTGATTTCCCCCAACCTGCTGGAGTGGGGAGAGCAGCCCCAAAGGGGGGCCATGCCCCACAGACCCCACACTCAGCCCCAGATGGCGGGTGCCACACGTGGGGTCTCTTCGAGCTGCCCCTCCCAGTGACAGGGGACAGGATGGGACACCTCTGCTTGCTGGAGGACGAAACCCCAGCCCTGACACAGCTCCACTCCAGCCCTGCACAGGGATGCTGGGCGCCGCCAGCTAAACCGCACGGATTTGGGCTTTTTGATTAAACCAAAGAAATTAGTTCAACAGCATCTTTAAGCCTCTGGGCTCAAATTAGGCCTATCCCTCCCTGGGGCCTGGCAAAGCACAGGGAAAAGCTTGGGGGAGGCTCGGGAGCTCCGGCCCTCGGAGCCTCCCGCGCGCAGCCTGTCCCCTCTCCCCTTGGGGCTCTCTGCAGCTGGGGATTATTCTTTTAATCAGAGTCTGCATGGGAATTGCTTGCATATAGATTACGGGAGCGGGGCACATTCTCCGGCAGCAGGAAGCCCCCGGCCCCCAAGCAATCTCGACGTCTCGGTGGAGCGGGGATTAACGGAGGCACGGGGCCGCACGCGCGTGTGTGTGTTTGTGCGTGTGTGCCCACCCACTGTCTCATCTTCCTTTCAGTCCTTTGACCCTCGATTGGGTTTTTTCGGCTAATCCTCTTGTGCCTCCTCTGCACCGACTTTTTGCACCTCCAACACGCCTGTGCCGGTGCGGGTGGCTCTGGGTGCCCATGCCGCAGGGCTCCCCCCAGCAGGATCTGGCCATGAGGGTGCTGTCCTCTGTTGGGGCCTGTGCAATGGGAGGGGGTTTGGCCCAATCCGGGGTGCGCTGGGGCTCAGTTGCTCCTTCCGCCTCCCTACTACCTTGATGGGGCAGCGCCTTGCTGTCCTCCCGCACCACCGTCCCCCCAAGCACTCCTGGGTGCAGCGAGCGGCACAGGAAGGTCTTTCCACCCCATGGGCTGTGGCTTCCTATGGCCTTCCTAATGCCTTAATCCACTCCTGATCCGCGCGCCCCTGGGGCAGCCGGTCCTGCTGACCTTGCAGGTGCTGGCCCCGGGCAGGGACCGGGTGGCACCGGGCACTGGCCGCCACAGCTACGCACCCATGGCCACCTTCTTCACAGCTGCCCTGAAGAGCTTACAGGGGGGCAAGGAGGAGCCGCCCAAGGGGCCCCCCAAGGATGGCAAGGCAGCCACGCTGCCCAACAGCATGGCCCGCGAGGAGTTTGAGGAGGACCAGCGG